ACGTCACGCAGCTTTGGCGCCCCCGGGCCCCATTGCGCAGGCGCGGTGGCGGCCGCCCTCGTGGTCCCCATGGAGCTACCGTAGCTGGGCCGGCGCGGCTGCGAGCGTCCGGGATGAGCGCCGCCGAGGCCGACAGCTGGGCGTGGCTGCTGGTGCTCAGCTTCGTATTTGGGTGCAATGTCCTCAGGATCCTCCTCCCCTCCTTTTCCTCCTTCGTAAGTGGTTCCCTGCTTTCCCAGGGACCTGTGGGGATCAGTCCCCGAAGAGGCTGGTGTAGAGAATAGGGTGGGTCACCGTCTGGTCACCCAGGAGCCAGATTCGACTCGCAGAGGCGTCTTGGTGGCTTTGCATTGTTATAAGAGTTTAAAAATTAGCGGCTAACGTCTGAAAACGGAAACGCTTTCCTCCCAAATCTTCTGGAATCCCTTGGGAAGGGCGGTGAGAGAAATGACCTGGCAACATTTGTCCCATTTCCACATGGTTGCAATCTTGCGGCCTCCAGCGGCCGCGTTCCTCAGACCCGGCGTTCCAACTGCCCTGGTGGGCACCCGCGCTCAACTCTCTTAATCCCTGGCCGCTGGGATGACTCGCGGTTCAAGGTCTGGTGCTTAGCACAGTCCCGCGTCCCTAGTTTCCCAGAGGCAGGGCCAGCTGGGTGGGGAGACAGATGTCGTCGTGGAGAGAGAGAATCCCCGTGTGGTTTCCTGGATGGGAGGGCGCCCCAAGCACCGTTTGCGGTATGATGCCAGGCAGCGAGTTCCTTGTCTCGTCTCCAGTTGTCATGGTTTCTGTGGGCGATGGATATTGTCACCCTATCTCCCTTATCTTTGCAGAGGAGAAGTCTGGCTCATTGTAGGTAGTTGCTGTAAGTCATCTAGCTGAGAGTGTTGGAGTGCAGGTGTGATTTTGGATTTTGGATTGTTTTGGATCTACTCCATTGCTTACTGGAGCATGGAATGGGATTTGGTGGCCAATTGGATGGGGTGGGTGCCCCGGGAAAGGGTTTCCTCTGGGACCCCAGCGGGAGTAAGAGAGTGTTTGATTCAAAGATTGGGTGCATGAGTTCTGGCATGTAGTTTGGGAAGCAGATTTCTTTTCTGAGAATATAAATGTGTGTATGTGGCAGGAATATGTTAGCCACGGCCGGACTTGTGTTTTTTTGCATAGAATTCATTGTTTTGTGCTCAGCTCTACTCTAAGTCCATATTACCAGTGTCCTGAGGCACAGGCATTCACCACCCCCCCCCTTTTGAAATGTTTAAGATGTTCGGTGGTGTCATCTTCCAGGCCTTTACTTAGCAATATGTTAAAAGGTCCTCCCTGCTTAAGTTGTTGGCCAAGTTAGAAAGGATATAACATGATCGTGGAAAAATGGAGCTAAAGGAAAATAGAATTTTCTCCATGAACCCTTTGAAGCTACCTCTTATAAAGATTTTGGCACCGTACATCCCTGTAACTCGTGTCCAAAACAGTGAGAAGGAATAGAGCTCTATTCTGCCTACGTCCTGGGTTTGTGTAAGAGGATGCAGGGTAAATGTAGCTTCTTCACAACTGTTACCGGCTGCTTTGTCACAGGCTTTGATGTGAGGAAGAAGGTAGTAAAGACTCCTGAGGGAGAATTCCTAGAAAGAGTTTGATTCACACTATAATGCTCTCAGATGTGGGGGCATGCCACATCAGATTATTAACTGCATTCGTTTCCCGGGGTGGCCACTACAGCACCACAAACTGGGTGGCTCAACCCAGCAAAAATGTATTCATTCCCAGTTTGAGGTCAGCAGTCCAAAATCTGTGTATTAAAGCCAATGCTCCCTCAGAAGGCTCAGCAGGAAACCCGGACAGCTGCTGGTTGTGCCATGCACGCCTTGTAGATAAATTGCTCCAGTCTGGCCCTGTCTTTACATTACCATTCCCCCCC